TATATATATATATATATATATATATATATATTTATTTATTTATTTATTTATTTATTTATTTATTTATTTATTTATTTATTTAGCCCTTGGTTAAAGAACTTTCGCATGCAGTGAGCCGTTTGCCTTTGAGATTGGTCTAGGTGAGATGGACGACATACAAGTCAAATAAATACAAACAAATAAATATGTCTCTGGCTATACTGATTGGGATTTCTTGGAGTTCTTAAAAAGATTGTAGCATAGGGCCTCATACTGCCTTTTGAGGCTTGACAGAATTTGCTTATCGTAGGGCCATCCATAAAGATGATTTGGATCAGTTTAGGAGGAACTAGCCCAAGTAGTTATGAACACAACCAGGTCTCCCCATATAATAACACTGCTACTATGAGAGATGCATTGGCTAATTATTAACATTTGGACACAATTCATAGTGTTGATGTCACACCTGCCCCAACCAGGATCCCAGGAAAGAAAGACCCTCGACTCCATTTTTGTGAAAGATATACTTTTATTAAATATTAAGTGGGTAGAGGAAAGCCAAAACTGAAGTTTAACCATGAAGATTCCCTAGTTAATTTTCCCTTTTACCCATTCTTTCCCCTTGTAATATGTCTATTGTCCAGTTACATTCAAAGGATTTGTTTTGGTGGCTAGGTAGTGAGACGAGGCCAGCAGCAGCATGGGTAGCTGCTTAGCCACTTTAGGACTTGTCAATTTCAGCGCAGAATTCCCCATAGCCCACCAACCCCCATCTTTGGGATATGCATCTGTGCTGGGCTTAAGGAAAGAACGATCAGCAGGAAAATGGTGGGGGCATTTTCCTGCTGATTGTCCTTTCCTTGGGAGCCCTGCACAGACGCATATCCCAAAAATGCTCTGTCTGAAGCCTTCAGCCTTGCAATCCTGTGCAAGGAAGGTGGAGGTTTGCTCTGAAACTGCTGCAGAGCATTGCACCGGGAGGCCTCCATGAATAATATTGAGTTGTGTGTCTTGGTCCAGTGAAAGGTGTACAGTCCAGGGGCTCAGCAGCCAGGTAAGATAGGGTTTTAAGATGAAAAAAAGGAATGGGTGATGTCCCCCCATTCATTCTGTTGCATGGTTGCCACGGAGCTCACACAAGGCAGCATGACCGCTGGCGAAGGGGGACCTGGCAAGCTGGTGATGTGGGAGGTGCTCTGGTGAACTGGGCCAAGTTTTCCCACACCAGGCAGGAGCAGCCCAGCAGGGCTGCTGAGAGTAGAATAGAATAGAATAGAATAGAATAGAATAGAATAGAATAGAATAGAATAGAAT